GATTGATCACCTGTCTTTGGTGTTTCCAGTGCTTCCATTGCAGCCCATTACTGGCACATGGTTTGAGATGGGGGAGTGGGATGCCAGGGGCATCCTGGGATAAAATAGCACTGGAGACTTAGATGTAGGCAACTGCCCTGCCTTAGAGCCACTTGTCTCACTCTGAACTGAACATCTTGGACTTGCTATCAGTTGATGGGGAGCAATAAGCACTCGTACAGGGATTTATCTCATTTTATAATAGATGGTCAAAACAGACTCTATGAATTATAGTGGCCTTCCAATACCTGAAGGGGGCCTACAAGAAAGCTGGGGAAGAACATTTCACAAGGGCAGTTAATGACAAAACAAGGGGAAATGGGTTTAAGCTGAAAGAGGGGAGGTTTAGATTAGATATTAGGAAGAAGTTCTTCACTGTGAGGGTGGTCAGACACTGGAACAGGTTGCCCAAGGAAGTTGTGGATGCCCCCTCCCTGGAAGTGTTGAAGGCCAGGTTGGATGAGGTTTTGAGCAACCTGATCTAGTGGAAGGTGTCCCTGCTGCTGGCAGGGGGGTTGGAACTGGATGATCTTTAAGGTCCCTTCCAACCCAAACCATTCTATGATTCTATGATTAATTACATGTCAGAAGTGCTTTTTTCTCACTATTGATGGAAAGATGATTCAACAGATGCAGATGGCTACAGAAAATATATTTGTGTTTGACAGGATAAATCCCACCCAGGGTTCTTCAGCAACTCCTGCTATCACCACAGCTATGAGGGGTGAAAACCCTGAGCAGCCCAGATGATGTAAAAGGTATTTGTCCTTTCCAGACTCCTCACATTCTATGTGGATGGGACATCTTCCAGGTGAAGGAAAGAGGTCCTTCTCTGCCTTTTTCACAGAACTAAAGAAATTAAAACCCAGATACATCCTAGCATCATTTCAGACATTTATCAGAGATGACCAAGATCACCTCCTGCTACAGTCAGTGGAAGGGGGTAGATACCTTCAGCCCGTTGCTCAGACCAACCCTATATCAGGGCATGGTGAAACTGAGCTGGAACAATCTCACAGCTTGTTTGTGGCCACACAATGATTCCTCTCCCCGAAAGCCAGGCCAGGGACTGAGCCCCCCTTCATCTGCTGCTGACCTGAACTGTATGTGAACTGTGACTTCCAGCTGAACACACTCTGTCCTAATCACCACAGCGCTGAGCTACCCCCACAGACCTCCTTTGCAGAAACTCTCTGAAATATAATTGGGCTATTTACTGAATTTTGTCTGGATAGGCAAGACATTGAAGAGGCATTTGCTTTCTGAGTCCCTTATACTCTAATTATTGTTCGAGTTACCATTGCATCAGAGCCTAACAAAAGAAAGCAAGGAATTAGACATCAATCGTGGTTCATGGGGTCATGGAAGAAATGTAGCACAAACACACACACACACACACACAAATAACACATAGGCCATCTCCAGTGTCTGTTCTTTAGCATTTGTACCCCATGAACATCCATTAATGCTAATGTTTATGACTAAATAGACCTATAAGTCAATTAGAGATCCTGTTAGTGTTAATTCACAGCCAATCTATATATTTGTCTGCAGAACAGCTAGGGAATTGGTATACAACAGATTTTTCTTTTTAAGTGAACAGATTTATATATATATTTTTTAAAATACAAATACTTGGGAGCTCTGCTATTCAATCTCCTGGAGTTATTATAGGAATATGGTCAGTGATTCACAAATTAGTCTTGTCTGCTACTAGTATGGTGGCAGCTGGTAAAATGTCTGAGCCTTTCTATTCATGTCCTGTTGCCACATGGGGGTATTAAGGCAGTGGACAGTAAAATAATGGCCTTAATGTCCTCAAGTTGTGCCAGGGGAGGTTCAGATTGGATATTAGGAAAAATTTCTTCACTGAAAGGGTTCTCAGGCACTGGAACAGGCTGCCTACGGAGGCGGTTGCGGCACCATCTCTGGAGGAATTTAAAAAATGGGTAGATGGGGTGCTCAGAGATATGGTTGAGTAGCGGGCAGGTAGAGTTGGACTTAATGATGTCAAAGGTCTTTTCCAACCAAACAATTCTATGATTCTATGATTCTATAAACTTATACATGATGCCCCGCTGAAGACTTCTGTGTAGCTTTAGTCACTCATATAGAACAGCTTTCTGCAATGGGGAAAATCTAGCACAAAAAGGGTACACACTGCAAAGACCTAGGATGGAATCCTTTGGATCCAGATCAGGATCATGTGGACTTACAGCCTTGGGTCTAGATGCAACCTGTCCAACTTAGCCTGGCTTTGGACATGAACAAATGTATCTTGATTCTCAGCAAAGCTCAGAAACGGCTAACATATGACTTTTATCTACTTCACATCCAGGCAGATCATGCATGTCTGCAGTGCATGGCTTCCAGGTTTATTGCGACCACTTCTACACCAGCAAGCTCAGCATCTCCAAGGCTTGTTCCCTGACCAGGGGTCTCTTGCCTGTGCTCCTGTTCCTTCCTGGCCTCTAAACTGGGGTGCCAGGATCCAAAGGGATCCTGCCTCATCCCTGGAAACATTCAAGGTCAGGTCAGACAGGGATGGGGCAGCAGCAACCTGATCTAGTTGAAGACATCCCTGCTCACTGCAGGGGGGTTGTAACTAGATGACCTTTGAAGGTCCCATCTAATCCAAACTATTCTATGATTCTAGGATTTTAGTATTTTGAGATTCTAGGACTCTATTGTGGGTGGCTCCTGTCCCATGAAAGACCTTTAGCTGTGTCTGGAAATCATCCAGGAGAGAGCTGGTTGCCATAGACAAAATCCGGGCCCATGGTTGCTCTACCTCCTTTACAGCACTGAGTTTGTAAAGGATTTAGGAAACCTGGCCTCATTCTCACTTGACACAAACCTCATAATCTTTATAGATAAGCACAGCTTGGTAAGATTGCACTTCCTACCGTGTGCCTCACTATCTGCCCAGGACAGAATTGGGTGTCCAGTGGTCCATGCTGCAGAGCAAGCATCAGGTTCAGACCTGGGCTCCTAGTTCATTACCAGACAGCCTACCACAGGCAAGCCACCAAATTTCTGAACCAGCCTAACAAGGCCAAAATGTGCCCTACCCAAATTCAATCAGCGCTTCCCAGAAAACGGTCTATGAGCAAATTCTGATGCAATGTCATGTCACTTGTTTCTCTGCTGAAGAGCTTCACCAGCCTAGGGTATGGTTTTGTCTTGCTCTTTTTATTTCAGTTTTCAAGACATTTCTGTCTGGTCAAGCTTCCACTAAAAGTGGGCAGTTGCTGGGTTATGAGAATTATCACCCATGTAAATGTTGTCTACTTTCACTGCTTGGAAAGCTCACATTTCTACTTCATTTCTCAGACGCTTCTAACATCATTATAGATCAAAATAGCACCCTCATCAGCTTTCTGAATACAGGAGATTCATTTTGCTGGGGACAAGTGCTCTTGCTGTTTCACCAGCATAATTCAGCCACAGAACTTAAGGCTGGGATGGGAAAGTGCATTCTTTAATCACGTTAATGTTATCTCGTGGCAGTCTTCTTTTTAAAATTTTTGATGGAATTTAATGGAGGTGAGAGTCACTAAATGAATGGTTGGCAGAGACAGATGCTCTCTGGCTAATCAAAAAATGATTTTGCAAAGTCAACTTCCCTTCTACTGCCCAGCTACAAGCCCAGCTCGCAATGGCTTTGCAGTCCACAGTCCCTGTCCTCACTGCCTAAAGGGCAGGGAATCTCTCTCTGTCCTGGGTGTTCATTTAGTTCCTTCAGTGAATGATTCCTACAGGATCAAGCTGCCCATCTGTCCCCTGCAAACACATGGACACGTCTAAGAAAACCCTTGCTCAGCGGATGATGGAGGTCTTAGTCCTGAAGCAGAGGTTGCAGGAGAGCCCAGTCCTTACCAGGCTTTCAGAGGAGGGGTTGGAGGTTGGATGTTATGAAATAAAAGGTGATTTTTGGCTTTCAGACTTTGTTTGACATCACGACAGTGATCTTGCAGGTGGAGTATGTTCTGAGGGTACAAGTTCTGAGTGAGGTTTTCTCACATTTGAGTATTTGTGACAGCCCTCTCCCCTTAGCACTCCCTGTTATCAAATACCACTCAAAACTCTTCATAATTGAGCTTGAAAAGTCCATCATTGTATATCACTAACTCACTGCAATAAGATGTAACTAGTTCTAGCACCCACAGACCAATCTACTGTGTTAGCAAAGGACATTTGGATCAGAGCCAAGACCTCACCTGAGAAAGGTTTCTAATATTCAAATTAAACACTCCTCGATTAAATTTCCTTCCCAGTTCTCCTACTCCCCCTCCTTTGACCCTCCTGGACAAACTTTCCTGTCTTCTTTCAGTATTTAACCTGGTGATAGAGCAGCACTGACTGGCCCAGGGCTGAGGGGACACCAGGTAAGAGGAGGACACAGCCCAAGTTTTGCTAAGCCTTCTCTGCAGGGATGTGAGACCACTCCTCCCATCTCACCACTGCTTCACAGCTTGGCCACAGCAGACACTGGGTTTTTAAATTGCTGTGAGGTAAGAATCCAAAATCCTGTGCCCAGAGCCATCCCAAACTGTCTCCTATCTAACAGGACTTGTTGGGAACCACTCTTCTCCCTTGTCCTCCTTTCAGCTCACAGTTTCCCTTGCAGAGCTGCTTTCTCTCTCGCTGCAGGAAGGGAACCAGAGCAAGGGGGAGAGCAGGAGGAGAGGCTCATCCAGTCAACAATGTATTTCATTTCCAGAACCATCACTGCTTTCCAACCCCAAGAGTCCTGCACCCCTGCTGTCTGGGTCAATATGCCTTTGCAGGCAGTTCCTTGGGCCCTGGGCATTCTGCCCTGGCCACCTGCAGAGAAGCTTTAGCAACCCCAGGAAGCTGTGGGAAGGATCAATGTTCACTCCTCAAGAGAAGATGCTTCTCCTCCAATGTCCCTGTGCCCCCATAGGCAGCATGGTCACCTGGGAGCCTGTTTGCTTTACCTGGCAAGCACCTCTTTCTCCTCTGTCCAGCTCAGCACACAGCATGTTCTCCATTAGCTGCGGGATCCACTCCAAGCACTGCTCCCTACTGATGAGCTTCATCCGTGCTTTCTGCAGCAGGTGGGACTTTGGCGCTGCTACTGCGAACCAGCAAGTGAGAAGAGAATGGTTAACAAACCCTGCAGAACAATGCAGACTTGTAAGAGTGAAACCACAGATGGAGACAAGCCCTTGGGACTGCTCTCATCTGAATTTGTAAAGCATCTCAAGGCAAGAGGGTCTCAGGGCATGACCATATGGTCTTGGGGTCACAGGAGCTTGCAGGGGTTGTCCAAATATTAGCAAAGAGAAGCTTGCGCTCTTGATTTTATGCCAGACTAGGAGGTGGGTAGGTAGGTAGAAATGGGGGAGATGTTAATGGGCAAAGCTGAAATCCTGGGGAGTGAAGGCTTGCTAAATAGGATTTTTAAAAAGTCATGTATTTTTGCAGATGAACTCTGGGATGTGCTACAGCGGGAAGACCCTCAAAGGGAGGGCTTATTCTGCTGGTCTTGGTGATGACCTGAGATGAGCTGCACTGCACACCTTAGGTTTCTCACTGATGTTTCCAGGGAACTCAGTTTGAGGGACTCTTTATGGGGTCCCATGCAAGCCCTGTGGAGGAAAGTCCACTGAGCTTTCCCCAGAACAGATGATCTCCTTATCCTCCTGCTTTCTTGGGGTCTGTGGGATCATACCTTGCCCAGGGGATCAGCTATACCTTTCACAAAGTGGCTCTCAGGATGGCAGTTCACAATGGAAATAACTGCTTTATCCTCCTTGAGATGAGAAAACAGAAATTGCAGCAGGAACCAGCAAGCAACAAAAACCCTGAAAATATGCAGGGCTAAAATATGCTTGGAAATCCCACTCATTTCACCCACGTTTCTCTTTAAAGTAAACCTGAGTCTGAAGGATAAAACTAACTTTTGGAGGACATTGCTGCTGGGGAGGAAACCTCCAGATTTTTAGAAACTCATTCCTTCTTCCATATTTGACTGAGCTAAATCCTGCCAGCACCTTTAGGAAGGTGGGACTCAAAGGAAAGATCCAAAAGATAGAAAGTTGCCAGGTCCCTTTCCCAGTTAAGGTGAGGCTGCTCCATGGAAGTGCCCACAGATTAAAATGCTTTGATGTAGGTATCTCCAAGGAGATTGTTCCACTTGTTGAGGTCTATTTGACTGCAAGTTGAAGGGAAGTCAGGCTAGTGTTGCCTGAGGTGCCAGTTGAGAAATGTCCACCTACAAAAGGCTGGTAGAGATGAGAAATGATCCATTTTTCCCCCACTGAGGAACTATGCTTCATACTTTTTGGTATGGCCCATAGCACATCATCACACATCCCTCTCACCAAACTCAGCTTCTGCTGGTTTTGTTCTGAAACATCTCCCAGACAGAAGGACTGAGTGCATTGACCTCACACAGGGTATGATTTGGATAGAAGTAATGTCAACTCAGCCCACGCAGCAGCATGAGACTGATCTCCAGAGCTACACCATGCATTTTTGCAAAGAGACTAGCTAAAGAGAAATCCTGCCAAGCTGCAGAGCGGCTCTGCAGCAGCCGCCTGCTTTTTTGTTTCTAAGAGCACGTTACCTTGGTGAAACAGGAGAGTTTCACAGCTATAAGACAGTGTTGTGCTTCATATTATTGTTATGTGAGGCAAATGAAGACGAAGAGGGGAAAATGCAGAGGTTTAGAGAGGAGAAAACAACCCTACAGAGCAGAAGAGACAGGATTAAATGGGACATTCACTTACTACATCCTAGGATGGATTGTTAAAGCCTCAAGGCACCACCCTGCCCGCTCCATCCCAATTACTTCTTTCCAAGAATGAAATAACTCATTAGTTATTTAGTGACATTTGTTCAGGATAGACATTTTGGGTCACAATTTGTGCTGGAGCTACTTTCATTAGGGCTTAAACAAGAGCAATTAGCAACAGCAATTTGCTGTTCTACCTGAGTGAAGAAGAGGGGTAGTCAGCACCATTAAATCAATCTGGTTCAGAGACATTAAGCCAAAGACAAGCCTAGACCTCCATTTCCAGACCATCTTAGACCCAGTCTAACCTGCCCACCAGAGTGGAGCTTGTCTTTGGATGCCAAAAAAGGCAAGCCAAGAGGTTGAGTTCCTGCAGAGCAAAGGTGGGATCTAAGGTTTCAGCTTGAACATACATGCTCAGAACACCAGGGACTTTGCTCTGGGCGTCAGTAGGTGACTGGTGACAGAATATTGTCTCTTCTTGCACTGAATAGACAACTGGTGGATGTGCAGAGGCTGGGAGGGTCTGGAAGTGTTTACTAGAGAGGTAGGGACTGGACATTAGCATGGGTAAACCCTCCTGAGAAAGAACATTTACTTTAACCAGATAAAAGCCAGCCTCCATTAGCAAATACATCTCCTGACAGCATCTCACCTGCATTTGTGGTTCCCCACCCAGCAACCCAGCAGTGTTGCCACGTATTGTTGTCAGATGTGAAGGGCAAGCAGATGGGGATTTTCTCACTGCTGAACTCGATGGGAGAGCTGAGCAGGATCAGAGCGATATCATTTTCCATGCTCATTCTGTCATAGTTTTCGTGGAGGATCAAGCTGTCCAGCTTATGTTTTTCCATTGGGAGGTTGAGGTCAATTCCCCCCACTACAACAGTGAGATCTCGTGGCCTTATAAACAAAACAGAAGAAGAGTAGACATAAGCAAAAATGAAGGCTTTGTGTTATAAAGGTTGATGCCTCCTCCCCCTGAGTAGGGCAGGGTGATGCTCAGCAAATTGCAGAGGTAGGTTGGCTATAAATATCACAGAAATCTACCCTCACTTCTAGGCACAGCTAATTTTCAGAGGAGAGAGGTGGAGAAGTAGAACGTGAATGCAACCAAGTTATAAATAGCCTGGTTGCTAATGAACAGATGGAATGGGCTGGATCTTCAGGATCACTGTACCCTGGGCTGGATGCTCTGGACCATGCTGCCCCCAGCCAGCTGCTCCAGGTTGTGATGCCATAGGTCACTTGTCACTGAGCAGTCTGGGTTCTTGGACCTGCTGAATTTTGGAGGGAGCTCACAGAGGGCTGGACTCTACCCCTGGGCATTGCATGAGGTTGATTTATCCAGAAACTGCTGGTTTAAAATCAGACTCTCCATGAGGTAAAGGTGTTGGTTATATGAAAGCAAAGGTAATTTGGGGGTTGGAATAAGCTGGAATGAAATACAGCACTTTTTATAGAATCATAGAATGGTTTGGGTTGGAAGGGACCTTAAAGATCATCCAGTTCCAACCCCCCTGCCATCAGCAGGGACACCTTCCACTAGATCAGGTTGCTCAAAGCCTCATCCAACCTGGCCTTGAATGTTTCCAGGGAGGAGCAACCACAGCTTCTCTGGGCAACCTGTTCCAGTGTCTCACCACCCTCACAGGAAAGAATTTCTTCTTAATATCTAATCTAAACCTCCCCTCTTCCAGTTTAGAGCCATTTCCCCTTGTTCTGTCATTAACTGCCCTTATAAAAAGTTGCTCCCCAGTTTTCTTGTAGGCCCCTTCAGGTATTGGAAGGCCACTAGAAGATCACACTGAAGCCTTCTCTTTTCCAGGCTGAACAGCCCCAACTATCTTTTTACAATGTACTGCAAATTGTAGATGTGCAGGAAATGCTTGGGGCCATCAGAACAGCATCATGGGCATTTATACAAAGCTGCTCAGACCATCCTTCAAAATATTTCCCTTCTGCATCTCCTAGTTATGCAGATTTCTGCACATTTCTGTTGTAACACTACTTCTGATCAAAAATGGGTCTATTTTCCACAAAGGAAACAATTCCTGTTTTCAGGACTCTCTTCCTGGCTCAGTCACATCTATGCTGCAGTTGACACCGAGGACATACATATCCCATACCCACAAGAATTCATGTTATGAAGCCATTGCGCCTGGGCTGTCCCAAAGGAGATAATTCCTGTTTTCAGGACTCTTTCTGGCTCAGTCGCAGTTGACCCCAAGGACATACATATCCCACAAGAAGTCATGTTATGAAGCCATTGCGCCTGGGCTGTCCACGCCTCCCCAGAGTACTCACACCTCCTCTGCAAAGCAGTGGGCCACCGTTAAAATCCAAAATGTGCTGATCATGGTGCCTCCACAGATATGTTTCCCCTTGCTCTGGATGCTCACAAGCCACGGGAACTCCCCAACCTTGGCATATCTCCCTCCTTTGATCCTCTTGCCAGTATCCTGAAAGGACTCGTAAGCTGGTCGGAGGCCACACTCTGTGTATAAAATGAGACATATTGCTCACAGACAGCAGTGCCATCTCCTGTGCTACTAAATTAGAGGGGCAGGACATCAGCTAAAGAACTGGTCTATGATTATCCATGCTACTTGATGTCTACCAAAGCCCCTGTCATTGTTGTAGCCTCCCCAAACCTCTACTCTGCCAAGCAATGCTCAGGCAGTTTGAGGGCTAGTAGGTCCATAGACCATTTCCCATAGGCAGGCTGGACAAAATCCTTGTTTATGAGATATGAGTGGAAGAGTCCATGACCAGTTTGTAGTACAAGTCATACATATATGCCATCAGGTATGAGGAATAAGCCCAGGCTAATTTAATTTACCAATAGGTGTATATTCTGTAGGGCTACTAGCAGTTCCGTTCTCCTTGTCATTTAAAAAGTTGAGAAGAAAAACCTGCGTGGATGCTGGCGATCAGAGAAGTTAAACAAAAGAGAGTAAGGAACAGCATTTCAATTCCAGTCTTGAACTTTTTGAGAACATTCACAGCAACGATGCTTCTGCAGACACCTCAGGACATCTTCCCCAATCCATGTTCTCAGCAAAGGCTGAGAACCAGGATGTGACATCACACAATCCATGTGTTTCTGTTGACATCACAGTTGGATGCTGGCCTTCCTAAGGCGATGAGGGAAAGCTCAGTGATTTCCAAGAGGCTTGGGATTTGTTTCACCTGTGACAGGGATGGACAGCTGTGGAATTCCTGTCTGTAGCTTGGACTGAGTTTCACAGAGTATTGCAATAGTGGACTTCATCAGTTGGGTGCTGTAGCCCTTTGTGGATCTTGAACCATGTTCTTCTCTCTGAAGACCTCAGATGTCGGTCTTGCATCAACTTTCAACCTTCAATTCTGAGAACTGCTGAAGCCTATAAAACTCTGAATTAATCTTCTCTGCTTCATTTAAATCGTGTCTATGTTCTCAGAAGAAAGAGGCAGGTCTGTGGGAGGGTAAATTGCAAACAGTAACAAATCAAAAGTATAGTAACAAGGATGTTGAAGCAGCCACTCCCTTCTTCCTCATGGGCAAGGGTGGTGTGCAAGACCAAATCCAGCTTAAAAAACTAATCCATGAGACTGAATCATTAGAGTTTCACCTTTACTGATTGTATCCTCCTTATATCTTTGTACCTTCAGCAGCAACTGCAAGGGGTCAAGGCCAAAACTCCACCCATAATTAATTCTGTGGCAGCATAATATTTTTGTGTGGTCCAATTTTAGCATCAATGAACCCACCTATGCCGATTTCTAAACCAACACATTAATTCCATCAGGACAGGACTTAAAAAATCTCAGGACTGGTTGAGACCTGAGCCCAGCTATATTAAGAACAGATAGTGCTTTCTCTAAAGACTTTGCAGCTTGTTTCAAAACAATAACTATAGTGTGGAGTAGGAGAGGAAAGAGAGGAAAGGACAGAAGGGAACTGAGCAACATTTTATGAGCACGCAAATGATTCAGTACATGAAATGTTTTGCCTTGTACACTGGAGCAAATCAGGAGTTATCTCACTGAAGTCTGAATTACACAGAGGTTAAAAATGCATAGAATGAAAGTCAGACTATTTTCCTCTTTGCTTTTATGCCACCTCATGCCTAGGAAATTAGACAAAATTGTTGGTTTCCTTGACAGTGAGCAGTAGAACAATTCAGTGTCAGAACATGTTAAGGTCAGGTGATCAGTAACCACAGCAATTGGAAATCCCAAGTGTGATGTGGGTACATTTTGGGGAATCTCCAGAAAGATCCTAACTTGCCAATCCTGACAGAGGTAGCTCCTCTCAACCTTGCCCCAGCTATAAATCTGCTAAAAGGACAGGTTTCCTTTGGCTTTTGAGACTGGAATGAACTCAGCACCAGCTGAGGAACAAGGAAAGTTGTGGAGCTAATTTCTCTGGCACAGACTGTCTTTGGATAAAGCAGGCAAGACTTCAGCAGTGGGTTTACAAGTCCTAAGACTGACTATCTGATGTCCATTTTCAGTCACTCCAATCTTGGAATAGGATCTGGTCTGCTGGGTAGTTACAGGAGATGTTCATGGAGCTGTCTGGGGTCTTTCCGAGCCTAAAACCTGAGCTGATGAGAAGGAAACATCAAACTAAGATATAGAGAGGAGTGCCATGGAGAGCTATCCAAAAGGAAATGTTGTGGATTTGTGTCTCTGGGTCCCCATCATCTGGCCCACAAAAACGGCTTTATGTGTCCAGAATTGACACATCAAGACAGTTTCCTACAAGCTTTTCCTGAAGAAAGCACATATGCAAGAGGACACACCAATGACACGTTCTTCAAAGTTAGTGATTAAGACAGCCTCCAATACAGGAAACACGAGAGGCTCAAGCCCACACCTCCCACTGCTCTCAGAAGTACTGCAAGCAGCAAGTTGGATGGGTGGGACAAATCCATCCCCATCTCTCCTACTGAAGCTGTTTGTCCTAGGATGCTCCATAGCACATATATAACCCATGGGATCTCATATCCATATAGAATCATAGAACCATAGAATGTTGAGAGTAGGAAGGGACCCACAAGGATCATGGAGTCCAACTCCTGGCCTTGCACAGGACAATCCCAACATTCAGACCATGTCCCTGAGGGCCTTGGCCAAATGCTGCTGGAATCTTGTCAGGCTTGGTGCCATGAGCACCTCCCTGGGGAGCCTGTTCCAGTGCTCCACCACCCTCTCTGGGTCAAGAACCTTTTCCTCATGGCCAACCTCACCCTCCCCTGCCACATCTTCCTGCCATTTCCTCTGCTCCTGGCATTCGTTGATGGTCAGAGAGAAGAGATTAGCGCCTGTCCCTCCTCTTCCCCTTGGGAGGAAGTTCTAGACCCCCAGGAGATCTCCTCTCAGTCTCCTCTTCTCCAGGTTGAACAAACCAAGTGACTTCAGCCTCTCCTCATATGGCTGCAGCTCTAAGCCTGTCACCAATTTAGTGTCCCTCTTGTGGACACTCTCTAGTAGCTTTGTAGGATAAACCTGCATCCTCTACAACCTTTGTCTGTAGCTTTTGGTCTCCACTCTGAGAACTCCATTAATAAAATGAAAATTTATTATCTCTCTTTCTAGTTGTTCTCCTATTTTAACTGCACACACACTGGGGCAGAGACTGCCCAACATCACATTTGCACAGCACCTGCCAGAATGAGCTCTGGTCTTGGTGGGGGCTCTACAAGCTATTGAAATAAAATAATTAATCATAGGAATAATTACGTTACAGCGTGGCCAATATGAATTCTACTCCTCTGTACTGTCATGCATGATAATACAGATTTAAAAGCCCTGGTGTTTAATTAGCAGGCTGCAGCTTTTTATAATATTTGATCCTTTTTTTAGATCTACTCAGATATATACTTAAAGCCATGGAACACATCGCAGACAACATTTTTCTTTTATTTTTTGTAATTTATTGTAGTGCAGGAAAAAAAAATATTGATTTCTTTTTCTGTTTATACACTTTTTGGAACTGTCAAAAAGACGTATCACATTATAATTTTTATTTTTTCTTATTAAAATTGTTTGAGAAAACAGGCTTTAGAGGTCATATTACATATTGCTGTGAAAGTGGAATTGTGAGAGAATTACTGATCTTATAAATTCATGATTCTCAAAGACACCAAATTACAGGGTTATGATAGTTAAGAGGAGCCCAACCATGTCTCCAGAAGTCAAAGCGCTCATAACACAAGCAAATTCATTAACCCAAGAAAATAAACATCGGAAGGCATTAGTTATGCAAAGCAGTTTGCAGGTGCCACCACCTCCTAATTCACCCTTTTAACAGCACTTCAAGCCAAGGAGGTTTTTTTCTCTCCAGATTACAAGACTGCAAGGAAACCCAGTGAGCTGCACAGAGCAAGGAGCCGCGTTTGCCAACAGGCACAATTTCTGCCTCTACTTTGGCATTTGATGTCGGTCAATGGGAAACTCCACAGATTACAGAGAGCCAACCCAACGGGTTCTTAAATCTTTAGGCACTGATGCTGAGGATGTATCCTAACACCTATCAGGGTCATCAGTCTTTTTTCAAACTCCTTAAAACAAAGTGGAGGTGGTGGAGTAAGAGCAGGCTATTTCTTGATCCCAATAGGACAGGAAAGACCTGTTCCCCCGAGGCCGCAGTATCCACCGGGGTTCTTACTGAGGTACTGCTGATGATAATCTTCGGCGTAATAAAACTCTGGAGCCTCCCGGATTTCTGTTGTGATGGGACCAAAACCGCTCTCCGTCAATATCTGTCAAGAAATATGATGGAAAGCCATTAGTGGTTTGCTGGCTTCTCTGCTGAGGAATAACGTTGGGTTTTTCTCTCAGCAGGAGCCACAGACATCTCTCAACTCTTGGACCACAGCTACAACACATCCCTGAAAGCCCTTTATCCCTGCTCTCAAGTTTGGTTTTTTTTTTTTGATAGGAGACATTGTGGGAACCAAAGTAGATGTTGGTGAGAAGAGGTAGCACACCCTTCTATTTTAATGACTCATTTGTTTAATTGGCTACGGCCAAGCATTCATTCTCTCTTCTTTATTAACCTTCCAAGCAGGGATATGGTGCCATCAACAAAAGTGGAAAACAAATGTGAAAGGCAGCAGATCACACTTTGATCAAGCCTGGCCAGTTGCCTTGCAGTGTCCAAGAACTTCACCTGGCAGGTGCCTCAGCTTTGAAATGTGCTATCCACCTCAAATTTCCTTATGCCAAGAATTTCTGGGTGAAATTTTAGCTCTACTGATGTCACTGAGAAATAAGAGCATTTAGGTTCTTTTCACAGAGCCATTGCATACTCATTCTTCAAAAAGAACCGTTCCATTATGACCAGAAAATTATTTTTAAGGCAAATTACGGCTCATTTCTGAAAGATTTGCCAATACATGGACCAGAAGCAATAATCACTTTGCAGCAAAAGAAGGAATGTGGGTGGGGATTTTAAATTAGACTGTAATTTATTTCTGATATCCCCTAACTGAATTTGAAACTCTTAAAAGGTTTCTGACAGAGAATTTCTTTTTAACATTAATTGCCATTTTTCCTACTGAATATCTGTTTTCTAAGGAAACTGGTAAGCATCAACATTTTGGGGCAAATTCTCATCTCAGTGGGGACATAACTTGAGCTCACTGAAGTCCATGATAACCTGATAAGTACTTTAATTGGTGTCAGACTACCATTGCAAAGTGTACTTGGAAAGTACTGGATGTAGATAGAATTGAATTGCTATCAGCCAGCCTTGACGGTAAGATCAACTGTAAGAACGAAGGGTCATCATTTAAGATTGCCAGCTGAATATGTGTTCTCTCACCATACTAATAAATAAACTTAATAAAAGGAAACCATCACACAGAATCACAAAGCCAGACCTGGTAGACCTGTTGTAAGTCATCATGTCCAACTTCTTCCATCATGATACAACAAGTCCCAGCAAACATTTTTTTTTTAACTTTTTCTAAAAGACTTTGGAGATGTAGATCCTCTAGTTTCCTCAAGGAGGCCATTCCAATATTTAACAGAGTTTCTCCTAGAGCATAGCCCAGTTAAGCCCACTACTTTAATTTACACCCACTATTGTGGTTGTACTCATCATGGATGTGGAAAGGAAATAATTCCCTTCCTCTTTATAACAGTCTTCTACATACTTGGTAGCTGGACAGAGAGAAGGATGACATGTAATGGAAATAATGCTTCCTCACAGCATCAACTAACAGTTAAATAATAGGTGATTATCTGGGACCAAAAAGTCTTTGAATTTCCTACAACAGGGTTTCCTAGATCCTGCCTCAGCACAGAAAAGTATTGACCACAGCCTGACATCAGTTGCTGGACTTTGTAGAGCATTAATCTTATTTATTCTGGTAATTTCACTGTCTGGAGGATACATTTTGCTGTATTCAGTTTTCAGTCAGGAATGAAGTAATAAGATTGATACAAAATCTGTGATTGATCTGTCTGGGGAGCCCCTGGATTCTCAAGTCTGCATCTAAATTCTCAGCATACTTTAGGAAGATGTCGACTAATTAATTCATTGTATTTGAACATGGCAAGGTAACAAGCCCAATTTCACAGGAATCTGTCCTTATTTCCCCATGTAAAATCACCAAAGAGTGTTTTTCATCTTTGGGACAGGCTTTGTCCCAAGGGAATCAGATTATTTACCTGTCAGACGTATGAGCAAAGAAGATTAAAAATGTGAAGGTATGTGTCACAACATGCTGGCAACAACTAACACAAAGAGGAGTCAACACAACTTCTTTGGGAAAATAGTATTTCACTTCCTTTCTAACCTCCCTAGCAAAGAAAAGCACTTTTAAAATTATCTTCACTCCAGAAAGATGGCACAAACTCTGTCATTATGGGCATTAGTCATTTACTTGCTGCTGTAAATGCATGTAAAATTGGCTTCTCCCCCTTAAATGAGTCACGAGGATGCTGCTGGAGGGACAGATATTTTTCTACTGTGCAAAACAGCATTCGTTACAGATTTTTACCTGGGACTTTTCCATCATTGGCCTAATTTTGTCAGTTCGAAAAATCCATTTTGTTCAATAACATACCACAAGAGGGCATAAACATCATTTATCCCTTTCAGAATTCCTAACAGTCTATTAAAACACCGCACGCTGAATAAAGCAGAAGCCCAAAACGACTCATTATATTGCACTTTGGTCATTAGCAAAAGATACCAGCGCTGTTGTCAGAAGCAGCGGGAACCTCAGGCTCCAACAGGCTGCCAAACACTACCTTGAATGTTTTGATTTTAAATGGGAAAATATTTTCCTCGCACTGACTGTGTCGATGAAAAGATAAAAACATCACTGGGAAAGATGAGGAAGTTCATGATGTGCTGGCTCCAGCAGGTGTAAATCAGCCCACTCTTGATTGATTTCCTGCTGCCGAGGCAGATATAATTTGATGATTATTCTGTTCTAGCAGATTTTTTAGTCCTCGCTGTCTCAAAATTCCTCAGCCATCCGATGTGACTTCTCATTAACATGCTGCAGCCAAAAGGGCTTCCGCAGCCTTTGCATGCAGAAATGGAAAGGACCAAATTAGAGAAAGTGCAATTAACCCTTGGGATCTTTTACTCAGTGAAGGAAAGTTTTAAGGTACTATTGGATCTTTTTCTCCTCGAATACTCCACTGTAATTCAAAGAGTATTAATTCATTATTTCATTCAAGGGATTTCTGTGGCTTTTGTCATAGGGGAGATCATACTAGAAGATACGTTGATCCTTTAACTGATTATAATCCAGACCAAAAAACACGGCAGGTTCTACTAGTGAGAAGCCAAACCAAACCAGAACCCAAATCTCACTCAACTGTAGAAGACAGAGGGGAGACACAAACTTTCTATGATGGCCTGTAGTGATAGGACAAGGGGAAAAGGTTTTAAACTGAAAGAGGGGAGATTTAGACTGGATGTAAGGAATAGATGATGAGAGTGGTGAAAATTTATGATGAGGGTGGTGAAACTCTGACACAGGTTGCCCAGAGAGGTGGTAGAAGCCCCATCCCTGGAAACATTCAAAGTCAGGTTGGACAGGGCTCTGAGCAACCTGATCTGGTTGAAAATGTCCCTGTTCACTGCAGGGGAGTTGATGACCTTCAAAGGTCCCTTCCAAACCAATCCATTCTATGATTCTATGACATGGTCAACTCAGTAGGTTGGGATGGATGTTGGAGCAGGAACATGTTGGACTCAGCACCAGTAACCTCAGCACAACCTCTACTTTCAGCCTGTAAAAGATTTTGTTTGATGAGATTCCTAAGTTATTATAGTCTGTAAAAGTTTGTTCTTGTTGCTCGCTTGAAACTTCTTGCCTGACCATGTCATTACATCCTCTGCTGCAGAAAATAATTCCTTATTCACTCTCTCCATAGTGATCTTGATTTTACACCTTTGCCTTAATCCTGCTCATTCATTTCTTCAGCAAGCTTCACAGTTTTCAACTCCCCACTTCATAACTCAGGTCAACCTTCTCGCCCTTTTCTGTAGCTTTTCTAGTTCTATTTTACCGCTCCATTGAGATGGGGTGACTGGAATTGCACTCTATTCAACATCACCACGGATTTATTCAGCAGTGTACTTACATTTTCTCTTTTATTCTCCATTCCTTTCCCAGCAATTCTTAGCATTCCACTTGCCTTTCTGACCTCTGCTGAGCACTGAGCAGATGTTTTCAAAGAACCATCTGCAATGACGCCAGGACCTCTTTCGCGGGCTAATTTAAACCCTATCATTGTGTCTGCACTTGACTTTTATCGACGTGGAATTTCAGCAGCTATTTTATTCCCCAGACATTTGATATTGTCAGATTCTTCTGTAACTTTTTGTAGTCATGTCTATTTTGGCTTACCTGGAATAACTCCATACTATCAGCAGTTTTCAGTTCAATATTATCATCTGTCTCCCATTTCCAGCTCTTTTATAAGTATATTGAACTGCACAGGTTCCCAAGACAAGTAACTGGTAATCTCCCTTCACTGCAAAAACTGTCCAGTTATTTGTACCTTCTATTTCCTATCTCTAACCACTTATTCATCCAGAAAAGAAACTTTTCTCTTATTCCACAGTGCCTGGCTCCCTTTTGTGCACCCACTCTCTTCAAAAAAACTGTATCTGCAAGACACAAGTTTCCTCGGTTTGAGTCACATCAACTCTTCTCTGAAACACTGTGTTCTACGTCTGTCTACTAACTCCTGGTAACTCAAGCAATCTGCAGCATCAAATACCAGACCTAAATAGTCTATAATTCTGATGGATCATCTTGGAGATACCAGAAGCAGCCCACTTTTCATCTCTTCATAATCAGGGCCATCAGCTTACCCATGATGCTACTGTGCAAGCAATTTCCAATGTAAGGTCTTTTCATACCTGGAGCTGACCACCTTGGTTGCACTGACCTGCCACTGTTGATTTCAATGATGTACTCTGAACTTCTTTTGCTGTAGCTTGAACTTGAGACAGCTCCTCAAAATCATAACCATGTGGGAAACTCCTAAATTTCTCAGTTGGGAACACAGACATGAGGAAATATGTAGCGTTCTGCTATGGTACTGTCCCAAGTCCTTCAGGGACAGATCAAGCTTTGCAAGTGCTTTTTCTCCAGAACTGATTCTGAAAATGCGCAGCTATCCTAAGGAAAATACATGAGTTTATTAGTGAACTGGAGCAATTATTTTGGATGCAGATTTGCATCTATATTTGGACTTGAGCAGCACAGACTGGCAAGAAGCAATT